AAATTGTCCCATATCATAGGTGCGCGCGAATCCCGAGACTTACGGTCTCCGTCCCTGATTATGGCTCCTGTTTTAACCAATAATGTGCCGCCACTTAATTGCTATTCCGGAACTAATAAAACAGCACCGACAAATCGCTTATCACGCATCTTTCAATTTTTATACGGTAGAGTAAAAACTCGCGTGTAAGAACCTATAGTTTTTGAAGTCTGGCAAAATAGGTTCTTGTATTTTGGTGTAGTTATTAGCAATTTAGGCTAACTAGGGTCTTAATTAGGTTCTTAATTTCTATGAAGGAGATATAGTTGTTAATTACCAGACAAATAGATAAACTAGGGTTTAAATATCTATTCTCTTCACAACTCTATTATGACAGGTCTAACACAATTGATTAAAGAATGTATGTGTAGTGTTGTCACTCTAACAAGAGTTCATAGCTTAACTGTAACCCACATATGAACCTGCTTTATTTTGCTTAGGTAATCGGGTTCATTCATTTCTGGGTATTAAAGTGGCAAATTCCTTCCAACAAGTTCTTAAACCACTAAGTTCTTACACGTGGGTTTTTACTGTAATTAAAATCTCTTCCTAGGAACAAGGTCGCTTCTACGTGAACGTCTAACGAGAAAGCAAAGACCCGAGGAAACTTCTCCGCGTTGGTCCAGCTGTTATTGTTTCTTCTCTGAGTATCTGCTTCGTACCCTAGTCCCCTTTAATTCCTAGGCAACTGGAAATTTTTTCATCTTGGGATAAACTGACAAAGTTTAAAGAATAATTGTCTTCACACATAAAAAACTTCGAGAGAAAGTCAATTCGAATTCTGACAGAACTGTCTGAATTAAGCACATGCAAAAAGAAAGAGATTGAACAGAGTTCGCATGTTAAAGGAAACTAAGAAGTCGAGCTTGTTTCTCATTTATGTCGGTTCTCTCCTGCTTTATCACTATAATTGACGATATATCGAACAGATTAAGGTCGAATTTCAACACAGTTAAGAAAGTAATTCACAATCCTTAGTCTCACAGATGTTCAGTTATAACTCACTTTTTTAGCTTGCGTGTCGGAATTTAACCGAAGGGTATAACTCGGCAAATGGGTGGTCCCAATTAGCAAACAGAATTTTCGACAAGCAATTATTCGTCAGATATTATCAATACACTAAACATTTTTGTCCCCTGAGGCCACGCTCCTTTTGGTCAGCACCAAAAATGGCGACCTCGGCGCTGGTCCAACACCGGAAGTCCGCGATTCACGGACTCTCCGTCAAATCTGACAAATCTGATTGGCTGAGAATACGAAACGAAATCTCTGCGCACGCTGAAAAAATTGGGTCCGGCCAGAGGTCGCGATTCTTGGTGTTGTCCAAAGGGAGCGCGGTCTCTGGAGACGAGAATGTACACTAAACTAAAATTCTTTCTATAAAGCGGCTTGCGCGCGTGAACGTTTTTCACTATATTTTGGGTCTAACTGACCGATAAGGATGCAAAATTCATTGTTAAAAATCATTCTACATTTTAGGAAACAAGTATGAGGGATTCAGCTGTGCTTTGATTTTACGAAGTTACGTCAAAACTGAGTTGCGTGTCTCTTTTGCAGTGCAGTGTTTTTTTCCTGCAAATTTCGTCTTGGGCCTTGAAACTTGCCTATAGACATATAGACCATAATGTTATGTTAAATCAGTTCAAGAGTCAACAGATGGGTGACTTGAAGCCGACCTTCCTCAAAATCAAACCGAGCGATTTCCCTGACATTTTCACTTCAGTTAATAAGATGTTACACGATTCATTTAAGACCAAAGTATCATTTAGTCAAGTATTGTGGTCATGATTTTGAATTCTAAAACAGCTTTTTGTTGTTGTATCTTGATACCTTGAAACTTCACTCGCAATTTTCTCTAAAACGCCTCCGTATTTTTTTTTTTAATATTTTGCCATCGTTAAGACAACTAAGTTAGGCCGTAGATCACGACGTCTTATATCCAAAATTGTCCCTTAATGGGGTATGACGTCATGATATCAATATGGTAACTCAGATCTTGGTAAAACGTACTTCATTTGAAACTTTCATCTTTCTCTGGCACACCAGTAATGTTCGGTTTTCTGTTGGATTGATAATGGTGGTGTTCTAGCTAGTCACTCGAAGTTAAACTGTATCATCATTCAAAAATCCGATCGAGCCATCTAGAAGCGACTCCACTTGAAAGTCCTCGTAGTCTTATGGAAATTTGATGAAGGTTCCCTTCTATCAACATGGAATACAATTTCCTACCTGGAAAGTAATCGCCCTCTCCTACCCTGTATACTGCTTAAGAAAAGTGATCACTATACATCATGGACAATCAGAAATCGAGTGCATTGTATAATAGTTTTATTAAAGATAACCAGCAACTGTTACAACAATGAAATCAAATAAAAAATTAAAATGTTAAGCCCTTTATTAACTTTTGGAGTACAGATTGTGTTAACAAAAGCCAAGCAAAAGTAAAAAACATAGCACCCCAGGCCATTCCCAAAACCATTGCTGCTGTCAGCGTTTTTGGTACGAATAGACAACAATTTACTGAGACGGAGGGACTTCCTCGATAATCAAGCGGGACATAGAATTCCAGCCTGTATAACCGTCAGAGTTTCCAAATCCAGCACAGTTTCCAATGTTGATCCCAACACGGATATTTCCCTTGTGAATGTTGTTACACTAGCCTTCTATTGCTCCGTGCCTATGATTGTTTTGGTTACTGTGCCTGATGAAGTTCACTGCGTCAATGGGAAGAGGACCGCTGCACTCAGCACCGTTAAAGGTGATGAACCATCGCTTACAGCAGGAGTTACAATTTTCCAAGTGGAAGTTGCCTTGAAAAACAACGCGGAGAGCGGTGTTATCCTTCTTTTTGGTGAAGATGCAATCCTAAAAAGAAAAATAAGCCATCACAAGAGGCGAGTTTAAAAAAAAGCTTAAAACTAATAGTAGTTAGTAGGTTTTTCACTCACGATATGTGAAACTGATATAATAACAGGACTGGTAATCTAATCCAAAGAAAAATAGAATCTTAACTTCAATTATTTTGTTTGTTCTGCTCTTTTCAAAGTAGGTTGCATTTCCAGTCATTGATAAAAACCCCTTAGCTAGCAAAATCTTAAAATTCAGAGTTCTCAAAATAAAACTAAATAAGCCGCGAATAGCCTTGTTTAACAGAGAAAATTAACTTAGACAGGGTCGTGGGCTCCTGACATACAGAAATGAAACTTTGCTTACAGATTTATACTATATTAATGCCTACCTTGACAAGACCAATGTCACGGCTGTCTCCACCCTTCCACGCACACTGTTTCCAGTTTCTGTGGTCAGCGTCCGAACCCTTTGATCCCACGTCCCCTTTTAGGCCAGGTGATCCAGACGGACCAGCTACGCCCCTTTCCCCTTTTACACCACGTGATCCAGAAGGGCCAGCCACGCCCTTTTCGCCTTTTGCTCCATCTCGACCGTCGCGGCCTGGTAACCCGTTATGACCATTCAAACCATTGCTACATGAAGCACATCCTCTGCACATCGACTTGAAAAAAAGATAAGTGTATTTTAATATCTGAATGATTTCAGTGTTTACTTTAAACTGAGACAAAATTGCCAAACGTGTCAATTTACTTGGTAAAATCACGATAATATCCTTCTGTCAGAGCAAAACCTGAATACTGAAGATACTCAAGACTATTGATGTAATGTAACCATATTGATCACGAGTTAAAAAAAAAACAACTGCAGGCCTTGAAAACCGAATTCAAGTTTTCCTACATGAAAAAATTATTTGCTTTCACTAACCATGAGTGATCCTTGCTTTTTGTTTTTTGAACGATTTCTACATTTAATGCTTAAGTTTACC